TGCCCTGGAGAATGTCCATGTATCCAGGAAAAGAATGTTTATTTTGCCATTGTTAGGGCTGAATGCTCTGTGCAAATCTATGAGGTCAAATTGATTGTGTTTTTAGTTCCTCTGTGTCTTTGTTGAGTTTCTTTCTGGTGTTCTGTTCTTTTTTTGAAAGTGGTGGCAATGCAGGATAATGCACTGGACCACAAGGTCAGTTTTAACTTCAAAGTTGGTGGTTCAAACTCACCAGTCCCTTCTTGGAAACCTTATACAGTGTCGCTCTCAGTTGGAACAAACTATAAGGCACTTAACAATAACAACAACACTATTACTGTAGTCTAGTTCTTCAATTCTATTAGGATTTATGTATTTTGAGACTCTTTTGTTGGGAGCATAGATATTATGGGTATATATGATTATAATTATGACATAATGTTCTTATTTGTATCTTATGGTAGCTTTTGCCTTAATGTTTATTTTGTCAGAAATTAATATTGTCACTCCTGCTCATTTTTTTATTGTAATAGGTTGATATAGTTTTTCCATCCTTTAATTTTTAATCTACTTTTGTCTTTGTGTATAAGGTGTCTCTTGTAAACATCAAATTGAAGGATCCTGCTTTCTTATCCATTTTGCTAGTCTCTGTCTCTTAAGCCATTGAAGTTCAGTGTCATTATCAATAAGTATATGGTGTTGATTTCGGTCATTTTTCTGTTTGTTTGTTTGTTTGTTTTTGTGGTGTTGCTGGTTCCTTTGTTCTGCATGCTGTCCTGTGCTGAGTTCATTTTTTTGTGCTTTTTCTTGTCAATATCTTCATAGTTTTAATGTTTCTAAAATTTTCATCAAGTTTCCTTTTCTTTATTAGATGTGAAGATGTATTATGTTTCTTTGAGTTACCTTGTATTTTATTAATTTCTCCCCCATTTAAAAATAATCTGCTTTATTTTGAAATATACCTGACTGTCTCACCACCTGGAACTCTGTAACTATACTTTTCCCTTCCTTTGCTTTGTAGTTGTCCTGCTCTTACACTGACATCCCAGATTCCCTATTTTCGGTCTTGTAGTTTTGTTCTACTCTGTACATTTTTATATCTGAACTGAATTTTGGGTGATGTTGCCATGTATGTCAATCTCTGATTGTTCTCTGCTCTTGTTGGTTCTTAGTCCAAAGAACTACCTTTGTATATTTTGGAGAGTTGTCTTGGTTTTTACAAAGCCCTATAATTTCTGTTTATATGAAAATGATCTAATTTCACTGACATATTTGCTGGACAGTTTTGCTGGGGATATGATTCTTAGTTGGCAGGTTTTTGTTGTTGTTGTTTTCTTTCAGAGTTTTGTATATTTATCCCCATTGCCTTCTTGCCTGCATTGTTTCTGCTGAGAAATCAAAGCTTAATCTTATTGGTTTTTCTTTGTTGGTAACATTTCATTTTTTCCAAGCTGCTTTCAGAATTCTTTCCTTGTCTTTGATTTTGAAGAGTTTGATTATGATGTGTCTTGGAGATTTTCTTTTGGAGTCTATCCTGACTGGGGTTCATTCACTTTCTTGAATGGTTATCTTCTCATCTTTCATGATATTAGAGGAATTTTCTTCCAGCAGCTCTTAAGCTATTCTGTGGTTTTCTTTGCATCTTTCTGTTCTGGAATTTGAATCACTCATAAGTTACTCCTCTCCGTGTTGTCTCACATGAGTCTTTGGCTTTCTTTGGATTTTTCCCATTCTTTAATTTTTCAAATTGTTCTTCTAACTCGCTAGTAATGAGAAATGTATCTTTTGCTCACCAATTCTTCCATTGATTCAATTATTCTTCTTTGCCTTTTCAGTGTATTGTCTATTTCTGATATCTTAATATAAATCTTCTGAATTTCTGTTTACAGGTATTCTATTGTCTCCAACCCTTTATCTATTTTGTTTGATTGTGCCTGTAGTACTTTTATGAATTTCCCCTTGTTTTCAATGACTTTTCTGTCAGTAGTTTGTAGGTATCAATATATCATTCTCATGAATTCTTTATCAGATAGTTTTAGCACCTCTTTTTTCTCAAAATCATTTTCTAGCTCTGCGTCTTATTCATTTGTTTAACTTATTGTCTTTTTATGTGAGTACAGATTTTCTGTTGCTTTCAAGGCATTGTGGTGTCATGTTAGTATTAAGTTGATGATGTATGTTGGTGTAGTCTTAGGAACTCACCAACTGCCTTCCAATGGGCATGATCAAAAGGTGAGTGTTCTCAGGTGTTCATGAAGTTCAGTTATGAATGAATTTAGTTGTACAATTACTGAACATTTTAATGAAAGATTCCATAGAAATGTCATGATCAAAGGAGGGAATGTGCAAAACACAAATCAAATTCTCATAAACTTTAGAGTTTCTGAAGCCATGAGAAGTGGATGAAGCCTTGAAAGCATTGCCCTGAAATAATCTTTAAGCCTTAAACCAAAAAATGCCTCCTGAAGTCATTTTAAAACCAAAAAATAATTTAGCTTAAGCAGTAAAAAAGGTCTGCCTGGAGCATTATGCTCCTTTAAGAACTATCTATGTGGAATCAAATTGACAACAGAAAATTAAAAGATGAGAGCCTTAAGGAGCAGTGATTTTATGTTAATGAGGAACAATTCAGAAAAATAGGATGAGAATGATTACAGAACTGAAATGTCACTAAATTGTACATGTAGAAACTGTTGAATTGGTCTATGTTTTTGATGTGTATATTCTCAACAGCAACAATTAAGTTTAAAAATTTAGTAAAAGAAACCATAAAATAAAATAAGCAAATCAGGATACCAGAATTTGATCATTGTGATTCTGATTTTCTCTAATACGACTTGAAGAAATACTTCTACACCTTATACATATATGATCCTTTTCATCCCAGAGTCCCATGTATTTAATTATACTATCATAACCCTAAACACCAAACTTCTAGATTTCTTAGCCACTCTTATTGTCCAGCTACTTAGAGTCTTACTCTTGAATCCTGTTTCTCACATACATCACCAATTATTTTTCTAGTTGCATCCTTTTCTTCACAACCTGATATCTATGTCCTCTACTGAAATTTTATCTTAACTCTACCTTGTATGTCTCATTTCCCTCTAATATACTTCTTCCTACCTAATCTGCAGAAACAATTTCCCTGAAGCTCAACCCTGCTATTATCTCCCAGCCTTAATGTATTCATTTTCTACAGGAAATGAATTTCCTAACATGCTAGCATGGCTATACTGACCATTTCCAGTATAACTTTCTCTTTTTATTCCACTTGAATCTTTCTTACATATACAATTTTGAACTTCATAATTTTTTTAAGCATATCTGAATTTTGTAGTATTTATAAAGGGTGCATCGAATAAATAAAGGTTCCATGCATGTTGTTCTGAATTTTCAAGTAGTGATGGAGAGAACAAATTTCTAGACATCAACAGTTACTCTTTCTTGATACTACCATTGTAATGTGCCTTCAACTCTTTTGCTTGCTCTTGAGTCAATTTCAGCTCATAGTGACTCTATATGACAGAGTTTCATGTAGGGTGTAATTTTTATGGGTCTTTTCTCTCATGAAGCCACTAGGTGAGTTTGAGCTACCAATGTTTTGATTGGAAACCCAGTGCTTACCCATTGTGCCACCAGGTTTCCTTCCTTCAACTCTGTGGGGTGTCAAAGAAGGTAGTAAATCATCTCAGTGATCTGTCCATTAATAACATGGAATGAGGCATCACGAAATTCTCTAATATTTTTCCACGTCTTTAGTATTAGAGGCCATGCTGGAAGCATAGTCAGGAAGCAGACAGACAGACCAATCACTTTGATGAGAGTTATTGCACAAGAAGAGAAAGACCAATAAAATTCCACTTGTCTGCCTGTCAGTGCTTTTTAGCCCTGGAGGAGCACCATTCCATATTGTGTACTTTAGGAATACCAATCAAAGAATGTTCCATACTCAAGGATCAGATTTTGGTTTTCTCCAAGATGATTCTTCCTAAGGGTCAATCTCAACAACCTATCGTTTTCTAAATTCCTTAGTTATTTCAACCTCAAAGGGAAAGTAACAATACCATTACCTTGTTACATAAAATGTCATGGGATGCTAAAACCATGAAAATCTCATTTCTTCCATTCCTCCACTTCCTTTATGGCAAAAATGACTGCATTATAAACCCAAATATTGTATGAAAATATTTCTATGGTATTTGTACTAAGTAAGAAATCACAGACCTTTGATCTAAAATAATTTCAGCAGTAAGGTAGAAATGTGTATAATATATAGATATAGATATAGATATTGCACAGGGACTAAAAGCTAAATGTGTCTCTTAATCCAGTGATATAGTAGAAAACATAAAAAGGCAAAAACATAAATTTTGCAGATCAGGAAAAATTTTGTATTCATAATCTGAAAATATACCTAAAGAATATGTTAAGCCATTGCCAAATTGTTTTTACTGCATAGTTATAGATTTAATTGTGTCTGTCAGACATAATGTTGTATAGCCAAACCTCAATGTCTGTTATTATAATCCCATTTGGGAATGGGTAGAATCTTTTATGTTAATGAGACAGGATTAGTATAGGGTATGTTTAAAATTGATCTCTTTTGAGATGTAAAGAAGATTAAACAAATGAGAAAAAAGCAGAGATGGGGGAAAGTGATGCCAAACTACATGAAGATTACTCAGGAGCAGAACCACTGAAGAGACAAGAACATTTCGCCTGAGCCAACAGAAAGAAAAAGGCTTTCACTAGGGCAGGCACCTTGTTTTCAGACTTCTAGCTTCTAAATTGTGAGAAAATAAATTTTTATTGGCTAAAGCCACACACTTGTGGCATTTCTATTATAGCAGCCCAAGAAAACTAAGATGTGTGTATAATAAGACTTTAGAAATCATGAACATAATGCACAACCTTTACCTTATAAACACTAAATATGTTTTTTTAAAAGTGTATCAACATAAAATATTTAGTTTTTTCAATAAGTCTAATATTAGTACAATAAAATATTAGGAGCTCACCATTTTTTTTAATTATATGACTCTGTTGTTTTATTTGATCATCTGGAACACCAAAAATTTCTATTACCACTAGTACGTCAGTTTTGTAAGATGAGTTTAAAGGAAGCTGGATACCGCTAATAAGCTGTACAAATAAATTTTGAATAAAAGATTTTAGCAAGATATTATAACTGCATCACCACCACTTAAATAACAAATAAAAATATCCATTCAAAAAAGTTGATAGACTCTAAGTCCATTCCCACAAATATTGAAGCTGATCAAATGTAAATGAAAAACTTTGACTCTTTTTTCCTTAAATCTCAGTACATAAATACCAAAAGCATGTCTAAATTATTCCATTTTAGTGTAAGATTTATGTTTCATTAGCATACAATTAAAATATCATTTGTTATGATCAATTTTACTGTAATTAATGCGGAACTAAATCTGACTCATGCATTATTTCTAAGTTCATTTTGTATACCACTAGCAAAAAAATTAGAAACAATATGAATATTACTTCTCAAATGTTAAAAATGAAAGTTTCCAAAGACAGCATTTTCTGATATAGAGTTTATGTTTAAATGGTTTATTATGAGATTTTACATTATTCATAATTTTCAATATTATCATGAGAAGTAAACTGAATCTGACAAAATCAATTATATCATATGTATATTCAGGTCTTAATTTCAGAAGAATGATCAACTCATTGATTAATAACAATTTTATGTAGCCTTTAACCAAACCAAGGTTAAACCAAAGCAAAGGTTTGTTTTACTTTAAGGAACAAAGGAAGCATATAAACACACAAAAGACTATATTTGAAATGTATTCATCTAAGGGTAAGAAATGCAAGACAGAAACCTAAGGAAGCAGTTGTAAAAACTGAAGCATAATTTCAATTGTGGTGCTACAGGCTCAGCATTGGACTGTGAACCACTAGCTCTGCCATTCAAACCCACTAGATGCTCCTCAATAACCCTATACAGGGTTGCTATGAGTCAGAATCTATGCAACTACATTTAACAACAAATAGAGTTGGAACCGGCTCATCAACACTCAACAACAAAGGTGTGTAGAGTCTTGATGTAGCCCTCTGGGATAAAGCACTGAACTTAAAGGTCGTTTTGTACCATAAGATCAGTGGTTCAAACTCACCAACTTCTCCTTAGAAAAACGATAAAGAGTCACTATGATTGGACCCTACTTGACATCACTTAACAACAATAACAATAGGTATATAGTAAGATATCATTGTCTAGTAGCGTAGTGGTTACAAGTTAAGCTGCTAACCTCAAGGTCGGCAGTTCAAAACTACCAGCTGTTCCGGGGGAGAAAGATGATGCTTTCTGCTCCCGTATAGATTTATAGCATCAGAAACCTTATACAGGGTCACTATGATTCAGAACCAACTCCAAAGCACACCACCAACAATGACATATGATTTGGGACATCCTTTCATATTCTTATTTGCTATCTGTATGTCTTCTTTGGAACTCTGGGAAAACAACAGTTAAATGCTCAGCTGCTAATCAAAAGGTTGATGGTTCAACCCAGCAGTCACTCTGTGGGAGAAAGATGTGGCAGCATGCTTCCAGAGGACACTTGGTATCTAAGCATCCTAACCAGTCACTATGAGATGGAACTGGCTCACCATCAGTGCGGTATATATTCTTCAGTGAGAAATATTTCTAGATCTTTGGCCATTTTGTAACTGGGTTGTTATTGTAATCGATATTGAAGAGTTCTTCATATATTTCAGATGCAGGTCCTTTCATTAGATATGTTTTTCAGATATTTTCTCCCAGTCCATGGCTTGTCTTTTTATTCTGTATAAATGTGTGGATCTTTTGTGTGTGTGTGTGTTTGTCTTACCTCTTAGCATACCTTATAATTTTTGTTGCAAACCAGATATGATGTTTAAGGTAAAATTAACTGAGGTAAATAAACATTTGGTGTGAAGTTTTATATTTTTCTGGTTAAATGTTTGCTGTAGTATCAGAAGCTAACATTTTTTCCTAATGTCCTTGTTTTTATTTGCCCTGTTGCCTTGGGTTTTCAAAGAAATACCTCTTAAATAGAATCTAAAGCTTACAATTCTTTCAACTGTAATTCCTGTTGTTATACAGAAATCCTCATACTGTGTCAGTAAGGTAGGATGCAGGAGTAGGGGAGATACATTCCATCATCTAATGATTCTATCTCAATCTTCTGGCATACTTGTATCCCTGAGCTTTGGCCTTCACAACTGCTCAGAAGATTCCTACCTGCCTATTAAGTGAAACAGGAAAGCTTGCAGAGGTTAGAGTTGGGTCTTTCCTTTGCCTCAGATTGGGAGTTGTTATTTGTTGGGAGGTGTCAAGTCAGTTCAAATTCAACACAATGCTATGCACAACAAAATGAAACACTGCCCATTCCTGCACTATCCTCAAATTGTTGTTATGTTTGTGCAAATTGTTGCTGCCACTATGTGAATCCAACTCATTGGGAATCTTCTTTTTCATTATTTACCAAGCATAATGTCCTTCTCCAGGGACTGTCCCTCCTGACCATATGTCCAAAGTATGATAGATAAAGTCTCAGCATCCTCACATCTAAGAGGCATTTTAGTTGTGTTTATTCCAAAACAGATTTGTTCATTCTTCTGACAGTCATTTATATATATTCAATATTCTTTGTCAACATCATAATTCAGATACATCAATTCTTCTCTGGTCTTCCATATTCATTGTCCAACTTTCCCATGCATATGAGTTGATTAAAATATTGGCATATGTTAGGCACACTTTAGTCCTTCAAGTGACATCTTTGCTCTAACACTTGAAAGAGGTCTTTTGTAGCAGATTTGCCTAATGTAATAAGTGGTTTTATTTTTTGAATGATGCTAATATGACTGTTGATTGTGAATTCAAATACACTTATATATTTCACAGGTTCAATTAATTTCTCCATTTATCTTGATGTGATTTATTGGTCCAATTGTGAGGATTTTTGTTTTCTCGATATTAATGTGCTGCTATCCATACTGAAGACTACATTCTTTAATCTTTATCAATAAATGCTACATTTACTCACTTTTGGCACTCAAGATTGTGTCATCTGCATATCACAGATTGTTAATAAGCCTTCTTTTAATTCAGACGTCATGTTCTTCATATAGTCCAGCTTTTTGCATTTGTTCAGCATTCAGATTGATAAAAGTATGGTGAAAGGATACAACCTAGCATACATTTTCCTGTTCAAATGACTGCCTCATGATTTATATCTAGGTCCCAAATGAGCACAATTAAGTGTTCTAGAATTCTCATTCTTTGAAATGTTATCCATAGTTTGTTATGATCCACATAGTTAAATGTCTTTGAATAGGCAATAAAGCACAAATAGCTATCATTCTGGTATTCTCTGTTTTTAGCCAAGATCCATCTCATGCTAGCAATGGCAACTCTCATTCCATGTCCTCTTGTGAATTCAGCTTGAATTTCTGGCAGCTCCCTGTAGCTACAGCTGCAAACTTTTTTGAATTTTGATATTAATGATTATTAATGATATTATTCCATTAGGTCACCTTGCTATGGATTGGGAACAAATATGAATCTATTCCTATCAGTTGTCCAGATAGCTATCTTGCAAGTTTCTTGGCATGAACAAGTGATTGCCTCCAGTGCTCTATCAACTTACTGAAACATTCTAATTGGTCAACTCCTGGAACCTTGTTTTTCACCAATGTCTTCAGTGCAGGTTGGACTTCTTCTT